CCACTATTAATTTGAACCCTCCCCTCTAAAGTGACTCAGATAAATTTCATGATTTTTTACCAAATTCTAATATTCAAGTCACAGCATAGTGTTGTATGTTTCTGCAGTAATTTCCTGAGGAATTGGTGGGGAGAAAGTCAGGAGTTTGCATTTGCCAAGCTTAAATTCTAGTTACATTACTTGAACCTTTATGAACATACAGTAAATATAGATGAATATCATCTGTTTACTATTCTCAATTTTGTCTTAAAAATCCAGACATAATCTAAATTTTTATTAACCCTGTCTAAATGTGCAAGCTGGGAATGACTCCAGAAGCAAGCAGAGTAAGAAGTCTGCTCTGTGTTTGTGCAGTTCCTGTGTAACAATAGAAATACTCAGTATGCGAGCCAGGATAAAAAAAATCTCAGTATTTGGGGGGAAAAAGATCCAGGAATATCTAGTAAAAATACTGTATTCATACAAACCTAGATAATAACCACAGTACCAAACTTAGTTTTGTCAGTAACATGAATAGAAAAAGTACTTGTAAATGCATTTGCAATTAAATAGTAATTAAACAGTTCACTCTAAATGCTGTAAGATTAGACTAAATTCAGTGAGGAATGTACATAATTTAAACCCATACTTAAGCACTTGTTTTAGTGAAAGAAAATGAACAAAAGCATGTCTGAGTGCTTTATAGCATTCTGGAGCCTTGCTGGTGAATTTATGAAGCATAGGTGAATTTAAATGATAATATTTCCTGTTAGTGTAGTTTCTCTGAATTTGAGAAATTAACTTTCTACTTTCATGAATATATTTGGATTTAAATTCACACAAGATAATCGCGATCTTTTGTTCACTTCTTTAGAATTGTATTACTGAATCTAAATGAGCACAGCTTTTTACATTGGCATCCTTTTAAAATATTTTAGGGGAGACAGGTTCATGCATCGCCTGCTTTCAGTTTGGATTCCTGTGTGAGGTCCAAGTGGATTTCTCCACGTAAATGTAAAGATGTTGTTCTGAGATGACCAAATGTATATTGCAAGTGGTTAAAAGAATAACCACACTTTTCTTCTAGGGGTTGTTTCATTCTTTTTCTTAAGAGATGTAAGTAGGTTCTCTTGGATTGTTGTTGGGCCTTAATTAAGTTTATTAGTAGCAGCTTATGAGTTTTGTTTCATGTTGAGAAGTGTTATAAGTTTTGGAGACATTTGTAGTTTGAGAACATTTGTTCTTCATATTTTCTTCCCAGCGGCTGTTCTTATTTCACCAAACTGTTACATTCCAGCAGTAGTTTATGGGTTTGCATGTTCAGGAGGCTTCTGGTCATGTAGCTGAAACCAGTGAGCTGGTGCAAGCTTCTGAATGTTCAGAAGTTTATGTTGCTTTAGTGACAGAATTTTCCCCTTTTATTTTATAGTCTGCATACTTGGCAACTCAGGTTAATCTCTGCTGATACCCATATTCCACAGACAGTATAGCCTGCAGCTCCTTTCATATTCATTGGTGTTTATATTATCAAATATTCTGGGCAAGCAATTCTTTTTCCCTTTGTTCTTCATAGGAATTTACTTTTAAGCTTAGTCATTTTATAGCAACTTTATTTTTCTATTGCATATTAGTATTGGTATTGCTTTTCCATAGTCATTTTCACTATATTTTTAATAATGCTCTATTGTTAATTTAAACAGATGAAGTTTTTTTTAATCTTTTCTAAACTGTAAAATATGCAAACATTGGCAGAATATTTTTTGCTTGTTCATGAATGTTTTTATTCCTTGCAACTATGATGTTGTTGCAGTTCAGCTTAATCTTTTTGCACAGTCATAGCTGCCCAACATATAATGCAATTATAAATGCAGAGTTCAATAGAAAATGTTTCTTAACTGTTCTTTATCAAATAGCTTCTGAAGGTCATAGGAAAGTTAAGCCGCATATGTGAGGATATACAATGGCAGATGTGAGAGACGGAGAATCACGTTTCCAGGAATGCAGTAGCAGTATCATAAAAATGTTGGATATATTTGAAACAGTCTCATCCTTTCTCTCAGTATCGTACGTTTTCCTTGGTTTTGAAAGCTGCTTAAAGCAAGCTTTTTTGGGTTTCTCTACAGAGCCCTTCAGGTGTGCTTTGAGGAACAGTTAAAACAACTTTCAAATCGACAGTAGTCTTAAAGTGGCAAAGCAATCAGCGTATCACAGGGTTTTAATATTCAGTAGTTTTACAGAGCGTCTTCACCAGCATGCTGCGGAGAAATCAGCCATCCTAGAAATCTGCTTCGTTATCTCTGGCTCATGTGTGTGTTTGTTCTTTTTAATTAATACAATAGCTTTTCTGTCATGTCTGTGTCCTAGCTGAACTTCTAGCTGATCCTTCTTAATATACAGGATAACATTACTATTCATTTTACCAGTGAGGCTCAGTCACAGAAATATCAAATGTTGTAATCAAGGAAACCCATGTTAGCAGTGGAACCTGAGTCTTTGCGATGCTTCAGATGCAGCCTGTAAAAGTGACAAGGGGCGAATCAGCCTGAAGACAGCACTGAAAGATTTTCTCCTTTTTGATACAAAAAAACCCCACTTGTTTTTTTCCCCTCTTTTGAGAGAAGAAGGAATGAAAATTCTTAAATAATGTAGTTTGGTAATGAAATCTGAATAAAGTGGATGGAGAGAAGAGGAACAAGTTGCTAAAACCTATCAGCAGACATGGAATTGATATGAAGATTTTGCAGAAAGGATATTTTTCCTTAAGATTCTGCAGTTGGCCATGTAAGCCGAGGTTAAGAAGCTGTTGGTAATGGTGCTCCGAGGCAGCCACGCAGAGGCATGGAGCTCTTGGTGTTTGTACGGTTGATGCCCAGCTGGAATGGAGATGACTGGTTTAGCTTTGTTTGATCACTATCCTTACTTTTTACCTTTTCCAGATAGGTGGGTTCTGGGTTTTGTGACAAAGCTCTTTGTTCTGTAAATCATTTAATAGCTAATGGTAAAGAATTGTTCTTGCTCTTTTTTTTCCTTTCTTTTTTCCTTTCTATAAAATGGTTATACATAAAAAAATTGAGAACAATTTCCAACTTGCTTTTAGGGCAACCAATTTTTATTTTTTTTATTTTATTTTTTTTAAAATCTGTAGCCTTTTAGATGAAGCCTTCAGGAAACTTGTAGCTGACTTCACATATCTGTGTTGCTAATGTTACTTTTGACATTTCTTTATATAACTGTACAGTTAATTGTAGTTATGTAGCAAGAAAACATCCTCCTGCCATGATGGACTTCACCCTAGGGCAGACAAGATCTCCCGGGCTGGGCCCTCTCTTGGGTCTGTGCACTCACAGCTCTCAGAGCTCCAACAGGGCCATTCCTGACCGCAGTCACATCAGTGTTAGGGTTCTTCTTTAGATAATATAATAACATAACTCAGTTTATTTCATTATGTTTTCGTATCTCATATTTTGGTCCCTTTTCTGTCTCAGCCCATGTCCTTCTCAGTCTCAACAATACTGTAGCTCTTAGAAACGTTGTCCTTTCCTGTGGGTGCTGGCTTTTCTCCTTTTTCATTGATTTTCATTTTACTTATTCCTACTTTGAGTATGAATGGGTCAACATCACTGTATTCTCAAAGACATTTTTCTTCCCTTTTTGTGTGTACGCATGCGTTGAAGATTCCCATAGGTATAGGGGCTCACATCAATAAAATAACTCTGTTAACATCCTCTGTGATCCAGGCTCTGCAAAGATTTATGCTAAGTGGAACTGTGTGTGTGCAAAATGCTAAACCTGGAACTAAGCCTTGTAGGATTTTGCTTCAGATCTGGTTATAAATATTTGTTGAACTGAGTCTTGAATTTGCCAGAAGAAAATTGTAATATGATTACTTCTCAAACACCTAAACATAAGTGCTTTTACAAGTTTATGAAAACATATTGCTGAAAAATCTGGGGTCACCAAAAGTTTACACGTGTTTACTGTCCTATGAAGTGTTCTGGGGGGAAAAGAAAAAAAAAAAGGGTTTGGGATTTTTCCAGTATTTAAAGTGTAGTTTGCTTTTTACTTTATTACCCCCAAATAATGGAATCGGCTTTGCAGTCGTCCTTTGCAGTCCTTCCTGTAGTTCCTTCTATAACACAGTGGTGCCATAGAGATACCAGTGAAATGTAAAGTAACGCAATATAAAGGATTTATTTGAAAAGTGTAAGGTAATCATTAACAGAGGAGTAAATTAGTTTTTAGCATATAGTGTAGACAGGGGTTTTTGTGTGGTTCTGCTTGAAAATGCCTATGATTATCTGCTCTGAGAGTACTTAAAAGCTGTATGAAATTTCCAGTCTTCTGGATAGGCGCTGTAGATGTCACACTGTTGATGCAATTGTAAATGCAAGTTTAATACGAATATTAACTTCTAATTTCATGCTAACATATCCTAATATGGGTGCTGTCTAAGATGTTTCATAGTGTTTTGGAATTTAACTAACTGTTTGGTTTTACTTTTAAACATCTTCAGGAAAGGTTTTGTGCACTTTTTTATGCTAGCAGCATGGAGCTAAGCACAAAAATATTGTTCAAGGAGTTAATTCTCATTAACCACCAGATGTGTTTCTGCCGTATGTCATATTTGATGTCTGTGTGCCATGGTGATTTAACAGAAATGCATTAAGTGTGGTATGAGAGTCCAGATTGCCTGAATGTTTTCCTTGTATATATATACTATATATATATACTAATGTATATACAAATTATCTAAATACATTAGCAACTTATTGTAATTATATTTTACAGCTTTTTGTTGCAACTGTTCTGATTTTAATGGTAATCTTAACTTTGCAGTTTAAATAGGCACCTGATACGGTTTTAAATGGTGGGAAAATATCATTCTAATGACCTGACTTATTAAAAGTACAGTATTATTTTTTATTCCGTGCACCAATCCTTGAATGTTTGGAAGAAACTGTTTTCAAATATTTTGAGAAGACTTATTTTCTTTCTTTGAAAAAATCCTGTTCTTATTGCAGCTGGTTTTAGAAGAAGCTTTCGTCTTAGCAGAAAAGATAAAAAAACAAACAAATCTATGTATGAGTGCAAGAAGAGCGATCAGTATGATACAGCAGATATCCCAACATACGAAGAAGTTGCAAAATATAAACGACAACCTAATGACAAATACAGGCTTGTAGTTTTGGTGGGTAAGTTGTTTTCTTTATTTTTGACCTGGTTAAACAGAGGACTGCTGATTAGCTCACTGCTTACCACAAAAACATTTAGATTGGAAGCGATCTCAGGAGGTCACCTGGTCCAGCCTCCCACTCAGCAGGATTAACACTGAATTCAGAGCAGGTTGGTGATGACAACAACTTTGGGAACCCGTCTTCCCACCATGTCCTCTCTTGTCTTCCCACCACACACCTCGGTAAAGAAGTGGCCTCCATCTTCTCAATGGGTATCAGAAGGGTGCTGGTCGGTCGCCCTGAAGACATCTCTTCTCCAAGCTAGAGAAGCCCAATTTGCTCAGCCTCTCCTCACAGGTCATGTGCTTCAGCTCCTGACCACCTTGGAGGCCCTCCGCTGGCTTTGCTCCAGGTTATCAACATCTTTCTTGTAGTGGAGGGCCCATCATGGACAGAGTATTCCTCACAGGGTCTAACAAGTACTGAGTAAAGGGGAAGAACAATTTCCCTCTATCTACAGGCTCTTGCTGATACATCCCAGTCTTCTGTTAGCCTTCGTTGCTGCCAGCATGTGCTGTGGACTTACTGCCCACCTGGACCCCCAGGTCCTTTTCATCCAGGCTGCTCCCCAGCCAGTCCATCCCCAGCCCGTACTGCTGTGGGGCTTAGTCTGTCCCAGATGTAGGTTGTAGGATGTATTTGTCCTCATCAAATTTCAGAAAGTTTTGCCAGCCCGTGCCTGTAGCATATCAAGGTCCCTCTGAATGGAAGCCCTCCCCTTGAGCAAGTCACTTGCATCACCCATTGTGGCATCTGCAAACTTGATGAGGGTCCATTCTGTGTTCTTCTCCAGGTTATTGACACAGATATGGAACAGAGTATGTTCCAGGGTAGACCCCCGAGGAACTTCACTTCTAATGAGTTGCCCAGCAGAGTTACAGACCAATAACCCCTTCTCTTTGAACATGATCGTCCATCCAGTGTTTCACCTATCTAGTAGCCCACCCATCTAGACAGGATGTCCCAACTTGCATATGAGGATGCTCAAGATGATGATGTTTAAAGCCTTGCTAAAAGAAAAGGAGGTGACATTAAAATATAGCTACCATGGTTACTAGTCTGCACCTGGAAGTCAAGCTGTACTAAAACTCAAAAGAATTAGGTCAGCGTTCCGCTCTTAAGAGATCAAGCAATACATCTATGTGTGTGGAAAAAAGAAAAAAAGAACAGCATAAATACCTGTGGTCAGCCAAGACAGAGTAGGCAAGTGGAAAGAAACAAAACCACCTATTGTGTTAGAATAAGTAAATAGACAAGTAGAGAAAAAGGTGGATGAGGTAGACTTCTGTAGGCCAAGAACGGATGTAAACATTGCTGCAGAAGACTCAGGATGTCATCCTTGGTCAGCTTTCTGTTCTTCTGTAATCTGTCACTGCCATGGGTTCCCCATGGCATCTATCATCTAACTAAAATGCATTGCTTCAGTCTCCTAAAAAAAGAGAGTGTACATGATCTTAAATTTTTCAAAGATAACCGTTTGAGTACCAATGAGTAATGTCTCTTTGCTTATTGTTTCTTTTGCAGTAGTACATAGGTTGATGCTTCATTAGTAAAGCTTCCTCTATTCTGAAAGCAGCAGAGCAGAGAAATACGACCCTCTATCAGGGACTGTTATGAACTGTTGAGTAGCTGTGTTTTTATATCGCTCATATCCAAGGGAACATTAAATTCAGTTTTTAATAAACAGTTTTGTCACTCTCCAGCACTAAAATTCAGCCACCTACTAGTGTGATCACTGTGAGATTGTGGGCTATATACAACAAGTAATAACATGGTTGAGTTGATTTTACACTTACATCAACAGAGTGCAGTGCAAAAGTGTGATAAGTAGACTTTTTATAACAAATTGCATATGTCTGATCTAAGGAATACCTAGAGATTTCATTTGATTTTTATTGTCATAAATCAAATGAAGAAAGTGTGCTTTTTCAGTAACAAAAGCAGTTCAGAAATTTATTGCAGACTTCAGTAATTCTAATGTTTTTCTCTGGATATTAAGAGCAGCTTAAGTCTGGCCAATACCATAAAAATGTCTTGGGCAAAATGTGGAAAAACTAGCAGAGCTAAGCAACGCAGGTATAGTAGAAGAGAACACATTTTAAAAGCTTTTTGTGTGCCAGTAGCAGCGTTCAATATAATCTGTCAAATATAATTTGGATATTAGTACCAGGAAACAACGGGACAGATAATTAATTTATAGCTGTGATTGGTGGGGGGGGCATTAAATGTCTGTTGTGTTTTGCTAGGCCTAAATGTATAATTTACTGTTTGGAAGGGGGTTTTTTACGTTTTGTTTTGCCCTTTTTTTTGGGGGGGGGCGGG